CATACATGAAGCCTGCACACTCCCAGTAGGTTGTAAGTGCATTATCTGAAATCTTCTCGTGCCCAGTCCCTTGCATTGGCCCAAGCCACTCACTCCAGGCCTCTGGCTACCATGCTATAGATGTGTACAGGAGACAGATGGGTGACTCAGGGGCTCCAGCACTGTGCAAAGCTCTGGGGATCCTCTCCTCTGAAACCTTTTTCAAACACTTAACTCCCAGTGTCTGAAGCACAGGGGTTGCCCCAGGGCTGTATGGTCCTCAGTGGCCTACTTTGGGCAACCTGGCTTAGATTCTTACAAGAAGTATCCTATGTCTCCCGTCTCTGTCTTGCTGTTCAGTTTGGGGTCACTGTTTCCTCCAAGACACGTCTGAGTTCAACTACTTTCCTCATCTGGGAACCATGTCTTGGCTAGTCTCAGAGCCAGCTCCACTATCAACAAGCTCATCCATCAGTGCGCCTGAGCACCACAGACACCATGGCCTCTTATTCCTCTTATTACTATAAGTACCCCCGCTGTATGCCATTTTGTTTTCATTTGCTCCTGTGCCATTTCATCATGGATGCAAAGCTAGGAAGCTTCTTCTTTCTCCCTGTTGCCCTTTGCTGAGATGTCTTACATAAATCAAATCAATTTATCTTGCATAAGGTTTAGACAGATACTTGGTAACAATTTTTTTATGAATACAATAATAATAATTATAATCTTTTCCACTAAAGAGAAAAGATTAGACTAAAATGGAGTTTTTCTTCTCTTTTGTAAAAAAAATGTGTTCCACCATTGGCCTCAATGGAGTGAAAACGGTGTAAAAAAATATAGGTGAGACAAGAATCAGGTCTAAAGTCCCTTGCTCTTTAAAATAGTTGTTGGGAGCATGTGCGTCTAAGCACTTAAGATCATAGGATCCTATGTTTGTAGGAATGTGGGGCTGGAAGGGACCTCGCAAGGTCACATCTTGTTCAGCTCCTGCTCAAACCAAGATCATCCCTGACTAAGTATCCCCTGGCAAGTGCCTCTCTCACCTGCTCTTGAATGCTTTCAAGCATGGAGACTCCTCAGCTTCCCTAGGCAGCCTGTTCCAATGCCCGATTGCTCCCAGAGTTAGCTAGTTCACCCTAATTGCCAGCCTTAATTTTCCCTGCTGCAGTGTGAGACCATTGCTCCTAGTCCTATCCCCAATAGACACAGATAAACACCCATTTTTTATCTTTTCTATAATCACCCTGCAGATATTTGAAGACAGTTTTCAAATGCCATTGGCAGTCTTCTCTTCTCCAAGCTAAATAACTGTAGCTCTTTCAACCTTTCTTCATAAGTCTTGTCTCCCAGGCCCCGGATCATTTTTGTTGCTTCACAGAATTATTCAATTACTTCTTTGAGAACTAGCACCATAATACCAGTCTGAGGTGAAAACTGGCAGATGTGATAGGTGAAAGAAATATTATACCTATTAACCAATTCATTTTTCAATGTTTTATTTATTTTTACTGAAAAATTCCTTTATTTGATTAATGCCCTGCATTCATTTGCTCCCGTCTACTGATTGGCTCCATTTTGTCCAGTCACAAAGATAGGAACATTGAACATCATTCTGTTTTCATTTACTGCTCTGCATTCTTGCCATGGATGTCAACCTAGCAATTTTTCTGTTTCCCCCTTTTGCCCTTTTCCATGATATCTTGGTTAAATCAAATCAATTTATTTTATACAAGGCTTAGAGAGGTGCTTCGGTAACAGCCTTTTTTCATGAATAAGGCTGCTAAATAAAACAGGTTAACCTAAAATAGAGCTTTTCCTCTCTTCTGTAAAAACTATGGCTGCCTAGACAGGTGCTCTTTGGAGTTCTCATTGGAACGCGTTGGAGCAGATCCTATTAATCGCCTCCAATTAGAGTGCTGCAGCGTTGCTGCAGTGTCATGTGTATGAAGCCCCTGCACAATTTAAAATGGCCATGGGGGTGCTTTACCTAAAACTCATAGAACAAGCTTTAAATAAAGCATCCTGTGGCCCTTTTTTAATGCACAGGGGCTTAATGTATGTGGCATTGTGGCCTTTTAAGTAGAGCGGCTACCTGGGAGCTATGCTAATTAAAATGCCCCCCTCCCACAATGAAGCACGTGCATAGACACACCATGTGTCCCACCATTGGCCTCAGTAGAGTGAAACTGGATAGAAAAACAATGTAACAGAGACAGGAATCAGACCTAAAGTACACTGCCTTGCTTTTAAAGAGTTGTTTGGAAGATCTTCATCTAAGTCAGTGGCTAGTGAAGTGTGACCCACCAGCCGGATCTTGCTAGCAGAGGACTCCATTTCCCAGCAGCCCCTTCCTGTGTGGCTGGGGCTGGTTTCCATGGAGACTCCAGCAGCACCCCCACGTGCTGGCAGGCAGCAGTGGTGCCAGCCTCTTCGTGCTGGGGAGGCTGAGGGGGAGCAGAGAGGGGGCTGTGCTGGAGCCAAGAGTGGGGTGGACTCAGCTACCATCACCTGTGTGGGGCAGGTGGTGGCAGTAGTGGTGGCGCCACTGGGAAGGGTGGCTACAGGGGGTTACAGGGAATTTTGGGATGGCTATAGCCCCCAAAACCCCCTAAGCATTGCCCCTGCTGGCAGGGAAGGGAGCTGCTCTGGCACCAGGTTGGGATCATGCGGTGGTGATAGCATGGTCCAGAGCCAGGGTAGAGCTTGGATCTGTAGCCTGCATGCCCTGTGGCTGCTAATGGGGTCTCCATGGAAACTGGCCCCAACTATGTGGGCAGGGGCTACTGGGAAATGGAGTCTGACCACTGGCTAAATCTGCCATTTTGCCCACCCCGATCTAAGCACACATTATCATAGGAAATTTGCACTGCAAAGGACCCCACTAGTTAAACCACTGCAGCCATTTATCTGTGTCTATTGGGACATCTATGCCATGCCCCTACTCAAGGCAGGATCTTACCTCAGTAAACCACTTCAGACGAGTGTCTGTCTCACCTGCTTGTGAACGTTTCCAAGCACGGAGAATACACAGCTTCTCTAGGTCGCCTGATCCAATGCCTGACCGCTCCAAAGTCAGCTAGTTCCCCTGATCTCCATCTTCAATTTCTTCTGTTGTGGCTTGAGGCAGTTGCTCCTAGCTCTGTACCTGTTAGCCACAGAGAAAAGCTCATCTCCATTCTCTCTATAATTCAGGTTTTTGAAGACTATTCTCAAATCCCCCCTCAGTCTTCTCTTCTTCATGCTAAATAATAGGGGTGTGCGAAACAGGCCCAGAAGTGGACCAGAAGTACTCTGCTGGGTAATGCGCAGCCGCCCACCCCGCCCCAGATCAGCGAATGGCTGCAAGAGGACCCCGGGGGCGTCCCCAGACCCAGGAGGCACCAGTCACTGAGCCGGGGGAGTGTGGCAGGGCTCCCCACATGTTTCCCAGCAGACCCAGAAGTGCTCCTGGTCCACTTCCGGGTCTACTGCCGAGCGCATTGGGGAGCCACCCGTGCTCCTGTGGGACGCCCCATGTGCCCCAGCATCACAGCACTCACGAGCCACCTGCTACATAGAGGTATGAAGTAAAAACGTTTAAAGCTGCCTCTACAGCTGAATCACTGAATCTTTCCAAATGTATCCGAATCCATTTGAAGCGTTCTGATTTGATTCACAGAGATTAAAGGGTCCTCTGATTCAATTCAGATTTGGAGATTTGGCCACTGAATTCAGCTGAATCTCCGCTGAATCGAATCAGGGACAGAAGCTTTGCACAGCCCTACTAAATAAGCCTTGTGCTTTCAACCTTTCCTCATAAGTCTTATCTCCTTGGGCCCCAGATCATTTTTGTTGCCCTGCCACTTGACCTATTATCTTGATGTTTTATCTGGGTTTTGGCTTTCTTCAGTGGGTCAGCATGAGGGAAATAAAAAGTTTCAATCCCTCATTAAATCCTCTTTTTTTTTTACATACCTCAAGGTACCAGCATGACTTGTGAACGCTGAAATGCTGGGGCGCATGGAGCATACCACAGGAGTGTGGGGGGCCCCTCCTCATCCTTGATGGCAAACCCAGAAGTACTTTGGGTCCACTTCTGGGTCCTCCGGGGAGCACACCAGGGACCGCCCCCCATACTCCCTGGATCAGTGATTGGCTGCAGGGGGACCCCAGGTGCCCCCCCAGGCCCAGGAGGCACCAGTCGCCAAGCCAGGGGAGCATGGGGGCCCCCCCCCCCACACTCCCCCACAGACACAGGACTGCTTCTGGTCCACTTCCAGGTCTGCTGCTGAGCGCGCTGGGGAGCCCCCCGCACTCCTGTGGGACGCTTCATGTGCCCCAGAATCGCAGCATTCACGAGATATGTAGAAAAAACATTTAAAGCTGCCTCTATCGCCGAATTGCTGAATCTTTCCGAATGTCTCTGAACCAATTCCAAGGGTTCCAATTTGAGTCAGAGAGATAAAAGTGTCCTCTGATTCGATTCAGATTCAGAGATTCGGCCACCAAATTGGGCCGAATCTCCACTGAATTGAATTAGGAACCAAAGCTTTGCACAGTCCTACTAAACACCCCTTCTTCTTTCAACTTTTCCTCATAAATCTTGTCTCCTTGGGCCCCGGATCATCTTTGTTGCCCTGCCACTTGACCTATTAGCTTGACTTTTTATCTGGGTTTGGACCTTCTTCAGAGGGTCAGCATAAGGGAAATACAAAGTCTCAAACACCCATTAAATCTTCACGTATGCAATAATTTAGTTAAATTTCCTGCAACAGGAAAACTCTAGTGAACATGGAAAATGGAGTAGACTTCCTCAAACCTTTTTCTAAACATTTAAGTGATATAGCCCATAATTTATAGTAGGGCACTGACTGTTAAGTGACTAAGGAAACTTAGCTTCCTACTAAATGTTCGAGAAAATTATGGCGGCCTTCTCAGTTGAATGAGACTTAGCTCACAGTAAACTACAGCATTTGTCAATTTTGCTGGAAGACGCTGCATTTCCCAACCAGCTTTCTACTCACAGTAAACTACAGCATTTGTCAATTTTGCTGGAAGACTCTGCATTTCCCAAACAGCTTTCTTAGGGCTCGTAAGACATCCCTGTTTCTCAGGCTGTAGATGAGAGGATTCAGCACTGGGGGAACAATGGTGTAAAACAGAGACAAAATCTTGTCTTTTTCTGGGGAGTGGTAGGAGCTGGGTCTCATGTACATGAAGATGGCTGTCCCATAGAACATGCCCACCACAGTCAGATGAGAGGAGCAGGTGGCCAGGGCTTTCTGCTGTCTGGTTGAATTCATCCTTAGGACTGCAGCAAGGATGCGAGCATAAGAGGCTAGGATGGTGGAAGAAGGGATAAGGAACATAACGATGCTACACACAAACAGCAGAGTCTCATATTGGGACGTGTCAGAGCAGGACAATTTGAGCAGGGCTGGGACCTCACAGAAAAAGTGGTTAATTTTTTTAGAGCCGCAGTAGGGCAAGTGCATGGTAGAAGCTGTAAGAATCAAGGCATCTACACATGTCCCGATCCAGACCCCGCCTGTCAGACCCAGGCAGACTCTCTTGCTCAGGAGGAGAGGGTATTGCAAGGGGTTGCAGATCGCTACGTACCTGTCATAAGCCATGACTGCCAGGAGGAGGCACTCTGCTCCACCCATTGTCAAGGAGAGGAAAATCTGAGCCCCACAGCCAGCTG